GTTATACAATAAATTTGTAGGGCCTAGCTTCTTCCTGATAAACAACCGAAAAAATAAAGTTCAAAAAGTCACCAAAAAATTTGGGATTATTGCACAAAAATTTGATATATTTGTACATACATATAAAAGCAGAATATTGTTTATTCATGGTTTTTTTCGTTCGTCTTCGCGGACCCCCTAGGATTTTACTACGGACCACTAGGGGTCCGCGGACCCCCATTTGGGAACCGTTGCTCTACACTGTGCTATATTTGAAACTTTTAGCAAATAAAATGATTCAAAACAGAGATCAGTAAAATGTCAAATCTTTACAAAATATATAGTTGGTCAGAACCGACTATAAAATTAATATACCTATTACCTCCAATATCTTACAAATATCAATGTTAATCAATGTTATCAATATTACCAAAAACATATTTACTTACTTTTTTTATTCATTATATCCTACGCCACCATTACTAGGACAAATATATTAGTATCAGAAATCGGCACAACTTACTAACGATCTGCCCTCATTTGAACCTAGCTCCCATACAAACTCCCCTTTAGATAATGCCTTAAACGTCCAGAATTGACTTATAATCTTTAGTATCGCTACGAAATTCTGCATAACTAAATAATTAAACCCTCCTCCAAATTGTATGAGGATCGGCCCATATATGACTCTAACTTCCATATAAATCCACTTTTAGAAAATTTGTTTTTCATCAATAAACTGATTCAATACATCGGCTTTAAGTAAAATTCAACATAAGTATTTTTATTATAAAAAATTATTATTATAAAATACTCATAACTGGTGTAGGGCAATGCCCGACTATACTTTCCTAATTGTTTTTCTTTAATCTTGTAGACTAGTGTTACATTTGTAACTGCTGCTTCAAGCAAAAAAAAAAAAAAGCGTAGAAATTATTCTACATTTAATTAGAAACAAGGAACCGGTTATAATATTAAACTTAACTATTTAGTGTCCGATTCGGTACATGGAAATTTAAATACAAACATGTGTGACAATTTAATTAGAACTGAAAAAAAAAATTGTTGTCCGTCGTAAGTGTTAATAACTTCATATTGTACAAGTGTGCATGAAGTTCATGCATAGATAATCTGAACATTCAAGTGATAATATATTAGAAAAGGAGGAGTAGTCTGAAAAGTTAGTACGAATTTATAAGCTGAAATTTTTGCAAAATCGGGACATTATTTCACCTAGCCTCCTTAGAATTGAACCTCCCGGATAGAGCTTTTGAGTTGATAATATTATTTAATATACTCGTAGTTGTACAAAAAGCGGTACAACTAAGTTTTAAACTTGCCTTGATGACCCTGCCGAATTTTGTAATAATCGGACTTTACTAGCCTTCAAATGAAGACCCCTTCAGAAAATGAGTTAAATGTCCACAATTCGCTTAAAAAGGATAATGTCGCGATGAAATTGTGTAGGGTATTATATGTATTTATTACTTGTTTATTATTTCAATAAATTTTGTTTTACCTTCTTCTTATTGTAACTTTTTCAACAACCCTCGTATATTTGTTTTCAATTTACCAACTACCACAAACAATAAGATTTTGTAATGGTAAGAAATACAAGTATTAAATTTTAGTAAAAGTCTTTCCTTTTTTCTCAAAAATCAATTATTATTTAAACATTAAAAAGTTGTTTGGCTTTTTTTTTTTTTTTGTTTGTTGTCCACAATGAACTTGTGTGTATTCGTGCATACAAATCACACATACACAAATATACACACATCCATGCTTTAAGAGATATAAAATGAAAAGAAATGTTAAGTTAAGGTACCGTTAGAAAAAAGGGTAACATTTCCGGTTTTCTGGATTTTGTCTTGTTTTATTGCAATTTCTCCTTTTTTGAAAGTAAAATAAAATATAAAAAGCTAAAACAACGATCTGTTTTGTTTTGCTCCCATGTTTAAAGCTTCTCTTTTTAAGGTATGACGAGAGTACGAAACCTTCGTTAGTTCATACATTCAATATGACTTCAAAATTAAATCTTCGTGTTGTTTTGGTTTTGGTCTTACTGTTGTTTGTTGATGTTGTTATTGGTGTTTAATTGTTGTTTTTTTTTCTTTTTATTTTCTTCTCGTGATTTGTGTGCTTTCTTGTTATTATCATTGTACTAAATATGAATGTGTGTGCACGTGTGTATATCTTTAATACAAGGTGACCATATCATACTCAATTTAAATAAACTTCAGGGAATACATTCAATTTTACTTTGATTGTGGACCAACTATATAAGTTTCAGATATCAGCATTGAATTTTGCTCTACAGGTCTAGTCGTTCAGATTTGAACATTCACATATTGATCTTTATATGTATGTATAATGGCCATCATTGTCTGCATCCAACGAGGCTTAAAGATCCGTTGTTGAAGATATTTCCACGCATTTTCAGTATCAACTCCTTTGGAATTTATAAAAAATGGAAATAGCTCCTTTTTCAAAAGTCTGAAAATAAATGGAATAATATAGACACATGTATAGGGGCCAAGTTAATGTGGTCTTCTTTTAATGAGAAACGCATTAGGCAACTTAGACATGCAAGTTGGCCTGGGCCCAAATTACGGCATACGATATCGATCAAAATCTCAATAGAATCTAAATGGAGATTTCGATCGATATCGTATGCCATAATTTGGGCCCTGGACTATGAAGTGAGTGCTTTTTTAAAACATAAAGAGTTTGTCTTTTTAGTTCCATTTAAAGAATAAAATCGGATTAAAAAAATTTAAGATAAAAATATTTAAGTCCGACAGCAAATCAAAATCAATTTTTTTAGGATAACAACCGATTTTCTGGGAATATTAAAAATTCAAAATATAGAATAGTTATCCACAAACTGCATTTGGAAACATTTTGAGTAATTTTTTGCTGTCATACAGTGTAATTACTTAAAATCAAACCATCATTTCATCGTAACCAACACAAACTTTGGAATTTCCGGTACATAACCTCAACTCAACTGGTCACTCTAACTAGTGCTTTATGTTTGTTAAAGTTTGTTGATCACACGTCGTATAGACGTTACATAGTACAACAAAAACAAAACTTTTTTAACGAATTTGGAGTCGTCGCAGTAGAGTAGTCAACTACAGATGATGATAATGGTGGAACAAAAAAAAAAAAGAAAAAAAGAAGAACATTCAGTACAACAGTCAAAGCAAAAGAAAAAGAACACACAACGATCGAATGAATGCCATACAAATACACGGTTTCTGAGTCGAAACACACAAACGAATGGTTGTTGGGCTGTTGTTTCGTTGGTTGGTTGGATGGCTGCTTGGTAAAATATCGTTATACATACATTCAGATGATATTCACAATATAAAATACAAAAAAAAAAAAGAAAAGTCTCACCGAAATAATAATAAAAATAAAATCATCATACACTAAACAAAACATTCAGAAAAAAACAAACAGTAAGAAAATACAATACTTAGACATACATTAAAACAAGCTACACTGCGGTACATAAACTACTAGACCAAAGCTGATAAGTATTGCTTTAGGAATTGTACCTAACTATGATAAAATCTAGAGTACATTAGATCGTGTTTAACCTAGTTTACAATTAAGCACATAACTACACTATAAGTGTGAAATTGTCGAGGAACTAGCATAAAAAGTTCCTCGTCAATTGCATAGTTATACTGCTGTCATGAGGTCCTTGGTCAACAATACATGACCAATGTTTCAGTTGTTAAGCAGTCTGTTCTAGAGATACAAAAATGGTATGTTTAGTTAGTTAGTTAGTTAGTTAGTTAGTTAGTTAGTTAGTTAGTTAGTTAGTTAGTATAGTTAGTTAGTTAGTTAGTTAGTTAGTTAGTTAGTTAGTTAGTTAGTTAGTTAGTTAGTTAGTTAGTTAGTTAGTTAGTTAGTTAGTTAGTTAGTTAGTTAGTTAGTTAGTTAGTTAGTTAGTTAGTTAGTTAGTTAGTTAGTTAGTTAGTTAGTTAGTTAGTTAGTTAGTTAGTTAGTTAGTTAGTTAGTTAGTTAGTTAGTTAGTTAGTTAGTTAGTTAGTTAGTTAGTTAGTTAGTTAGTTAGTTAGTTAGTTAGTTAGTTAGTTAGTTAGTTAGTTAGTTAGTTAGTTAGTTAGTTAGTTAGTTAGTTAGTTAGTTAGTTAGTTAGTTAGTTAGTTAGTTAGTTAGTTAGTTAGTTAGTTAGTTAGTTAGTTAGTTAGTTAGTTAGTTAGTTAGTTAGTTAGTTAGTTAGTTAGTTAGTTAGTTAGTTAGTTAGTTAGTTAGTTAGTTAGTTAGTTAGTTAGTTAGTTAGTTAGTTAGTTAGTTAGTTAGTTAGTTAGTTAGTTAGTTAGTTAGTTAGTTAGTGTAGTTAGTTAGTTAGTTAGTTAGTTGTTTTGTTAGTTAGTTAGTTATGTTTAGTAGTTAGTTAGTTAGTTAGTTAGTTAGTTAGTTAGTTAGTTAGTATTGGCGTTAGTTAGTTAGTTAGTTAGTTAGTTAGTTAGTTAGTTAGTTAGTTCTTCTTTCGTAGTTAGTTAGTTAGTTAGTTTCGTTCTAGTTTATGTTTCGTAGTTAGTTAGTTAGTTTCGTTAGTTAGTTCGTTAGTTAGTTGTTAGTTCGTTAGGTTCGTTCGTTCGTTATTAGTTTTTCGTTCGTTAGTTAGTTCGTTAGTTCGTTTCGTGTTATGTTCGTCTTGTTATTCGTTTTCTTAGTTGTTCGTTAGGTTCGTTAGTTTCGTTTTGTTCGGTTGGTTGTTAGTTAGTTAGTTCGTTCCGTTCGTTCGTTTTTCGTTGTTTCGTTCGTTAGTTAGTTATTGTTTTTCGTAAATCTTACTGTAAATATCACTTGAACAATTTCTAGAAATTTTAAGCTTAACATCTCATATTGATGGAGTGTATGTCATATTTTCGAGCTCACTGTACAAATAAAACAACAATAAGAAAATCAACAGAAATATAAAAAAAAATATAAAACGAGGTAACAATACAATCAACAACACAACGAAAAACCGTTCGCATTTAGAGTGCAACTCAACAACAGCAGAAATCAGTTATTGTGGTCTTCGTCGTTTGACGGTGTCATTCATAAAAGTGCTTTTGCTACGAACGGATACGGTTACTTTACTCGTACAATTTTACAAGTCGAAAAAAAAAAAACAAACAAACAAACAATCCAACCGATATCGCGAAGAGTGAGAATAAGAAAATACAAAAGCAAAATTTAAAAATTAACTAAATTAAATAATAAAAAATATATTCATAAAATTAAAAAAATAACGAAAAAAAAAAACTAAAACAACAACAAAGATTTGAAAATAAAGTTAAAAAATTGTTTATACCTATAAAATACTATAGTGAACTAAACTTGTTGGTTGGCCGGGTTGTCTGTGGCCTGGCTTAAACTCTATTAACTTGACTTATAACTTACAATTTAAGTGTTTTTTGTTGCTGTTGTTGTTATTCTGTTAGACAACAAACAAATAATAAAATATACAACAACAAACACATGGTGGCTCTGTGTGAGAAGGATTTTTTGGTTGGTTTTTAAATAAAATTCGATTAAACACAAAAACAACAACTAAAACTTGGCATCATGAAATGAACTTTAGACTATAAACTGATTCTTTAAACCAATATTTTAAGAGCAAAAAAAGCTACAACATAAAATACATTAGTTTTTTTTCATGATTCTTAACTCAATGTATTGGCAGATGAATTGTAAATAATATTATAAATAATTTTTATTAAAAAAAGATAAAAATATACACAATCTGTTAAATAAATAAAAAAAATTTAAATTTAAAGAAAATATTAGAATTTTTGTAATACATACTGATTAGTTTGTACCGTTCGAATAATTTCCAAAAACAGTTAAGTTGCGTTTAAACCTATCAAATATTTGCCAAAAAATTACTTGACCCTTAAAACCCGACATTTTGATTTTTAATTTTTATTTATTTAGACAAACATAATATTTCTTATAAAAATCATGAAAAAATATTAAAAATTGTGGTTACCTATGTGTTTTTCGTCAAATATTTGATACCTTTAGAAATCAGTCCAAAATAATAAATTCAGAGAAAACTAAAATTTCTCTTTAGTAACTATATTTATATTCAGAAAGGGTCTTCATATAGAATATATGATTAAGAATGAACGAATCTTATTAAAATATGAAAAGTGATTTCTATTTTAACAAATTTTCGAAAAGAGGCCCTATATACATAGAATCAGTTTCTATCTATCAATGGTTCATTTCAAAATGAATTCAGAGTAGTTTTGTATTGTATTGGAGGGAGGTAGATTCATATAGGACTGCGATATAATTGAATAAATAACATAAGTATTAGTATACGCACAATTGGGACGAACGACGAATTTTTCGGAACGAATATTCATTCGTCGTCAGAAATAGAACACACTTGGATATATGAAAATGTACACAATTATAGCGTATGACGAAATTCGTCGTACGTAACGAACTATGCGATAGGTTTATTTCTATTTCTTACGCAGACGAACGACGAATCAATTGGGGAAAATTGTTTTAAAACCGGTTGTGAGTACGGCTAATGACAATACAATATTATGTTCAAATATTCGAAATTATATTCGAAAATTCGAAGTTATGTTCGAAAAATTTTTTATGCTCTTAAAATAATCTCTGGGTCATAAAAACTAAAAATAAAATTTTCGAAAATTCGAACTTAAGTTCGAAAAATTTTTAAAGCCATTAAAACCAGTTCTCGTGGCCCGAATTGTCTGAAATTTGGCAGTATGGAGTCACTTGATGACACTACAATGCTATGTTGAAATATTTAAAATAAAGTTTGAAAATTCGAAGTAATGTTCGAAAAAATTTTGAAGCTGTTAAAATAATCTCAAAATTGGCAATATTCACAAAAATATAATTTTAGTTCTTTTCGAGTCCAATTTCTTACATTTTCTAATTTCGAAATAATGTTCGAATAAATTTTAAAGCTGTTAAAATTATCTCAAAATCGTGGAGATTCACAAAAATATAATTTTTGTTGCATTTTCTTACTTTTTCCAATTTCGAATAAACAAATTTTGAAACGAATTCGCAGTACGAATAATTTGATTGTGTTCCATTCGACGAATTTACGCAACGAATTTTTGTCGACTAGTTCGTCGTGCTATACGAAATTCGTCGTTCGTCCCAATTGTGCGTATACCATATTATGTACAAAATTACGAACTATATGACGAACAACTATGGCTATTGAACTCACATTCTTGTTGGACGAATGAATGATGCGAAAAGAATGGCGCATCCCGATTTAAGTTTACTTACTGACAGAACTATTTGAACGCTAAAATTCTAGTAATAATATGAATACTATTTCATTCTTTGGGTGTTGAAATATTTGATGAAATAAATGAAAGTGCTATTGCACGTGGTTGACTGAACAGTCGATCGACAGACTGACTGAATAAAGTATTTGTTTGATTATTGAAATAAAAGAATTAGGTAAATTAATAAATAAATAATTTATAAAACTCTTTTGTTAAGAAACAAATAAAAGCAAAAATGTTTGCTTTTTAAAAACTATTCAAATTCAATGAATTAAAAATAAAACAAAGAAATTGCTCTTTTATTAAACAGACTAATTTCTGCCAAAATAATTTTAAATAAAATAAAAGAAATTTAGAAAACACAGTTTTAAATGTAAAGAAAGTTTATTCGAGAAACTAAAAAAAAAACACTAAAATTTACACAAATTTTTTGTAAGTGTAAACTTAAAGAAATTTGTTTAATAAAAATATAATACATTTTTTATGAAAACAAATATTAAAATAAACTTTTCGAGTGTGAAATCTAATAATAAAAATAACAATAATAATAAATTTTATTTAATAAAAAAGTTTAACTAAGTACAAACATTATATCCTGTGTACAGGTTTCATAAACATTTTTATTATTTTTTTTAGAACATAAATTTTTTTCATTAAAAAAACAACTTTTTCCATGAGCGTAAAAAGTAAATAAATACAAAAAAAAACTTTTTGTTTTGCAATTTTGAGATTTGATTTTTGTTTTTGTTAAAAAAAAAAACATTATTAACAATATAATAAACAATAAAAAGTAAAATAAAACAACAACATCGAAAAAAAGTTAAATAAATATGAGCAATACAATGACCGCTCATGAACCCATAAACTACTTGGATAGCATCCTTAACGAAGAGGAGAAACGCTGTGAGTACAGTCATCAATGGCGCAATTTCACCATATCACGTTCAGGTCGCTTTAAATCAAAAAACAAACATCGTAATGCTGTCGATGGTAAAATGTTTGATCATACAGCAGGCACAACATCTAATACATCATCATCTTCATCATCGGTAGCTTCAGCAGCAATGGGAACTTCATCAGCTTATAGTACATCCTCCTTAGATAAGGATAAGGTGAGTAGGTTAATTTATTTTAGAAATTTGATATCTTAGGGTATTAGGGAAATAAAACAGTTGATCTATATTTAAATAATTTTGTATACATAATGATATTATTAACTTCATTACCATTAGCATTTGAAGCAGAGATGGTAAATGTATTACTATGTGAAATAGAAGTGGCTCCGGTAGGTTAGTTGATAGTGTTCTAGTCAGTTATTCTGTAGGTAATTGGTTAAATTCCCACCAGAGACTTTGTGAGTGATCTAGTATTTCTTCGTATTTGACGTAAATTAGAACTATGGGGTCAAAATTGAAACATAATTATTTATTTTATCATTCCGTTTGAAAGACCTTAAAATATCGGTCATAAACTCTATTGTAGCCACTTATACAATTCTAAAACAATTTTACTATGCCCGTCCAACTGGTCACGATAAGGTTCAGAGGTGAGGGTAGGAGGTCGAGGTTGATCTGAAATATATCGGTCAAGAAGAAAAGAATGCATAACAAAGTGTTTGGCCATCTACTTTCTAAAAATAAGCCAATATGCGATAGAGATTAGGCAAAGGAAGCTAAAAGGTTCAAAGTCCCACTGATTTGTTTAATATGTGTCCAAAGGAAACAATTTGGATTCAAGATACAGAACTAAGTGTTTGTCAATTATGCGTGTAAAAACGAGAAGTCTATATTTATTCAGATACATATCTTGTCTAATACTACCAAAATATCAATTTTCTAAAAATGTGGGGAGTAGCCGACTATATAATACTCTACTCCAGAGAGTATTTTAACATTTTTTACCTTAACTCTGAAATATTTTTTGACAAAAAAGTGATATTCCGAAAGACGGGTATATGGGGGCAAGGGTTAAATGAAGAATTTCATCGTGATACTTGTGTTTCTAAGTGACTTTTAAGCCATTTTCTGAAGGGTACTTTATATGGGAGCTAGGGTCAAAGGAGACCCGATCATCCAGTACATTTCCAGTATCATTTAGACTTATACAAAAGAAGTTGTGCCAATTTTTGTGGAGAAACTAGTACAAAATTATTATAATGACTGTTTATATCGAAATATATAATAATTAATGAGTTTACGAGTCCGCCTTTTAAATTTCCGAATAGTACCCTTCATTTGGGTAATTGAATTTATTCCATAGTGGACCGAAGTCTACAGAATTATAAAGAAATTACTTGTTATACTATTCACAGTTATAGTTATTCTTCAAGTTAAGACAATTTTCGTATGAGAACTTTCAATATATCTTAAAGTTAAAAAATAACTACACATTGTGAAAATGGTGATTAAAACTGTTATTAAAAATAAACTGATTCTCTGAAAGAGGATGCGTGTATGAAGCCTAGGAGGGATTTGTGGACTGATATTACCTATTTTCAATAACAAACAAAATGGATCAATACAAATTTCTGGAAGCTCCGCCGTTAAGGCCCTACAACGTTTTAGAGATCATTAAAAAAATTACCCAGAATTGATGGTAGTATACTTTTGTGGGTTTACGGGATGTTCTACGACAACACAGACATGATATGCAATTTTAAAAATATATAAATATGTATGCAATTTCTATCAAAATTGCAAACTTCAATGTAAATAGAGACAAGATATTTTTATTGAAACTTGTATTGATACCTTTATAACAACGATATTGTACGATATTTGAATACTGATATTTATACCGATAAACTCTTTTCAGTATCGATATCAATAGCGCTATTCAATTTTAAACGGTATTTAATTGATAACGGTATTAATGACGATATCAATTACAGGCCCGATAGTTGACTAGGTATATTTTTTCGGATTTGGATCTAACCTTGATAGATCCAATTACCCAACCCTGATCTGAAATATATAAATATATGCAAGTTTTTTAGTATTACAGTGATTTTAGTGATACTGTGACTCAATGTGACATACTAGATACATACATAAGTATGTAAGTAAATGTCAAAGGTTATATTTAAAAAAACATATATTTTAATAATTTTTAAAGCTATGAATTATTAGACTTGATATACCCAATTGTCCAACCCTGATCTGATATATATACAAATTTGTTATATAAAATTGATGACTTGTTTGTTCAAGTTTTTTAGTATTTTATACAGTTCGTTCATTCGTACGTTTCGTTTCTTTGTTTCGAAATAAAAGGGAGTTTTTAAAATAAAATTCAAACATACAAACAAACATTTTATTCATACATATTTACGCTTTATATTTTTTTTATATATAAATACACATGCATATTTATATGGCTTCTGTTAAAAATATATATTTTTTTATTTTAATTTAGTTTTGTACGAAAAAAATTAAAAAAAAACAACAACTCCAAGTCACAACTTAAAACTGACTCATATTTTTTCTTAGTTTTTTGTTTGTTTTTGTATTTTTATTTCTTTAAGACTGTTTGGAGACATTATTATTAATTATAATAGACCTAAATAAGTTTCGATAAAGTTGGCAAAAAATTATAATTTGTTGTTGGTTTTTTTTAATCATATTAAACTTTTTCCTATTACCACTAATGTTGTTGTTTCTATTTTCGATATTTTGTATGATCTTGAAATACATATTTATACATATATATGTAGATATATTTTAATTTAGGTAACGAAAAATGTTTTGTGATTCTTTAATTATGTGTTTAGTAGTTAAGAATACAGTGGGTGTTAGAATTATGTATACACTTAGTTAAATTAAGTGTTATAAATATAGTAATTTCGTAATTTTAATTATAAAATGTAATTTCTATAATAATAAAGATAAAAGATAAACGGCTGTATTTATAAAAACTTATTTTAGGTTTATTAAACAATTTTAGGCAAAATTCAGGAAAATCGTATTTATAAACGTGAAATAGCTTAAAACACCTTCAATAAACCATTGACAATTAGAAGAATTTTATTGTAGGCTCGACCCTTCTTTAAGCCAAGAATAACTTGATTTTTAACAATTTTTTTCTCAGATAAAGATTTTTCCGGTAATTTTAGGTTGATTGCGAAAAGTAATTATGGTTTCTTTTAAAATAAAATCTAAAAATTCTAATTTTAACGTTTACAAATTTGTAAATAAAATCCCAGAAAATTTTTAAACGATTATATTTTGAGGAAAAAACTCAAATCTAGGCATTATTGGATTAATGCATGAATATTTGACAATATTCCAATTGTCCAGTACTATTTTTAAGCAATTTGGAAATGCCCGTCTGTCAACCAAATGATGGACAAAATCATTTGATTTGGCTTTTTCAAAGTTTGTTGGTTAAATATAATGCCATAAAGTAATTAACCATGTAAATTACCTATATTGATTAGTGTTATACTAATGCAAAATATATTCGCCGGCATTAAAATTAGTCAAATATCAAAGAAATTTATCAATATTTGCAAAAATTTATCAAAAATTACAAGGAAAATAAGTAAAAATAAGAAAATGTGTCATAGTGATGTATATTTTGTCGCAAAATATCCGTTATTCGGATACTTTTAATAATAATTAGAAATTATATGTTATATTTATACATCTGAACTAAATAGACATTTATTAAAACCATATATATATTTATTTTTCTTAAAAGTTTGTTTTTATTGTCAAAAATCTATTATAAACAAAAATATGAAATTAAGAAAACCGAATCAACGATTATTTTATCCTAATTGTACGCAACACTAACACATAAAATGACAGCCATATTGTACAGTGCTGCCAACTTAAACATAAATCAGCACAATAGTTAATATACGTTTATTATTTGTTTATGAATATCACAATTTTATTAACGGTTTTTAAGGCTAAAGTGTGCTTTAGCCTTAAATACAAGCGAAAATCTTTGGCCCTCAAGGAAAAAAAAAATCTTTAGAAATTTTATTTTCCCATTTCTGCTTGTAGGAGAACGTTCTCAAATTGTATTGAACTGATTTATACAATAAGTGGGTATATTTTGTCGATATTTACTATTTTTGGTAAAAGTGAGTTTATGATTTTAATTAGTTGTATATTACCTTTAACGCTTTCATTTATTCAGTATAATTTTATCACAGAAATACATCAAATAATAACAAAAAAAAAAGTTTTTTTTTTTTTTTTGTTACTGAAAAACTCAAATTTTGCAATTATTTAAAACGCAATATTTGAGTCAAGTTAAAATAATATTATTAAATAAAATGTTTGTTTTGTTAATTTATTTACTTTTTGTCTTCTTTTTGTTGTTGTTGTTGTTTCTAACAAAGAAATATAAAATCCTATTTAACAATTACCTTAAATAAACTTTAATACTCATAACGTACTTATTGGAGCAATAAATTTATGAAAATTAAATAAAAAATATAACTAAGATAATGCAATTTATATAATACCCTACAATATTTTCTTATTATAGTCAAAAGGATTTTTGGAATTTTTTTAAATCAAATTCTTTTCCAATCGAAAGAGGAATTATTCCTATTTTTCTTCTTAAATAAAGGTCTTCAAACAACTTCAAACATTCAAAGTGGAAATGATATTTATTCAAAGTTATTGTTTTCCTCAAATTTTAATCAATTTATTATATTAAGTAGTAAGGTTGGCAAATAGAATTTTAAAATTTTACAAATCCGCATTAAAAATTGTACTTTTTTGATTCCAATTGTACCAAATACAATTCAAAATTAAAGGTGGAAGTACATAACACGCGTTGAGGCGGCAACACGTTTTACGCTTTTCAAAATTTTCGCGCTTTACAAGCTGCAAGTTACACACCACGCGTCATTTTGTTCTTTCTTTAAATGTTTTCTTAAGACTATTATAGTATACGCACAATTGGGACGAACGACGAATTTTTCGGAACGAATATTCGTCGTCAGAAATAGAACACACTTGGGTATATGAAAATGTACACAATCATAGCGTATGACGAAATTCGTCGTACGTAACAACCTATGCGATAGGTTTATTTCTATTTCTTACGCAGGCGAACGACGAATTAATTGGGGAAAATTGTTTTAAAACCAATT